GTAACCTACAGTGCAACCCCTTCCTGTGACGTATGTCTCTACCTGTAATCAGTGGGCTGGCTTGCCCCCAAAAGGTATATACAGGCGTGAGTCAGTGATATAGAGCTCTCTGACTTGTCGGACCTCTCTGACCCTCTCTGGCTCCCCTCTCTTCCCCCTCTCCCTTGTTCCCTTGTCCTCCTTCCCTTTCCCCTCTCTCCACGTGGACCACCAAGCTGGGCTGAGGTGAGCAATGCTACCATGTAATGTGTCTGACTGCATTATTGTAATATCTCTCATGCTCTCAATGACTCTAATATAATACTTATATATCTCAACCGTACAATTGTGCATCACGGAACCCAGAAGTAATATTACTGAACCAGTGAGTTCTAGCATCGGGTGGGCTGGCACCCCACCCCCTCCCTCCGCCCCACTTTTAATTTAATGCCACAGGGCTCACTCCGGTGTTGCCTTCCTGAAGGAGAGCTCAAGGATAACCAAGGTTAGGCTGCCATCTTGAATCTAGGGTCCGCCCATCATGTCACATGTGTACCCCTAGTCCCTCCCCTTTCTATAGTGTGCATACCCCAAGACCATCTCCTTCCCATTGCTTGTATTGCCTATGGCACAACCACTTCCTGATACGTATGTGGCTACCTGTAACCAGGGGGCGAGCACACCCTTAAGAATATATAAACCTTGGTTAGAAATATATGAGCCCCGACCTCCTCTCTTCCCCCACCTCCACGTGGACCACCAAGAGGGGCAGAGGGAAGCTTGCTACCATAAAATGTGTCTGACTCCGTTATCTTCCCTCCTACCTCTCCTATTCTCAATGACTTGACGCTCATCTATCTAGAGTATGGCCGTCTAATGGCACCTACGGATCCATGATATTGTTAGAGGCTGGTTTACTCTAACACAGCCTTTGCCAGTTCAACTTTTGACGGGTGTACAGCATATGGACAGAAATGACATTGGTCAGCTGGACAACCCTATCTTTAATCAAGGGAACCACAACGCAGTCCTCCCTACGCAGTAGCCCCTCCTTCCCTGAATCTCTCCGCCCCTGCAGAGCGCTCCTAAAGCAGAGGTCCTAGATGTGGAACCTGAGTCTTTTCATGTGTGAGGTCATACCGTCTTTGCCCTTTGTGATGGGCGCCCTTCACTCAGAGTCAGGTTTACAAGCTCCACCCATAGTGTAGCGCATGCCACCGCGTCCTTTGTCTTCCAGGAGTCAGGTTTACAAGCTCCACCCATAGTGTAGCGCATGCCACCGCGTCCTTTGTCTTCCAGGCTGAGTAGGATTCCATGATCACCATCTCTTGCAAGGACAATGGCAACCGCTTCCTGCAAGGGTCCCTTGCTTGCTCGTACTCTCCCCCAAAGTCTCGTCAACACAGTGGCTTTTCATGATACTTTGTGATCATTAGAATTCAGTTCACAGCGGACAAGGCCCTGCCTAATCTGGCCCTGATTACTTCTCCGACCCCAATCTCCATGCCCAATCATCCTCCCTTCCCACTCTGGAGTCCTTTTTGTCTTTAGGACCTGCCATCTATCGGTTGGTTTCTCCATGCAGAACGCTCTTCACCGTGATTTTCCCTCAGCTTAAAGTTCTAACCAGAATCCCTAGTGAAGACATTTTTCTGGACCGGTCAAGGAAGCGCTCAACAAGGTCATCAAACGATCCAGGTCCCGGTTGATCTGCCAGTCTGCACCTGTGGCGAGCTCTGCTCACAAGCCCATACGCCCATATCAACACCCAGAGGTGCAAGCAGCCCATGCGTTTTTGTTTAAAGGAACTTCCAACAGACTTCCTTTTTGCCACTGCCAAGAACCAGGTCAGTGCTCGCCCATAAATGAACGGCTGGGCAAGGAGACCACCATGATTTGCATAAGGTGACCAGACGTCCCGATTTTTAACAATTTGTCCTGCGTCCCACGGCGTTGTTAAAAAGTCCCGATTTTTGGAAAGAATGCACAACAAGCTCAGGTATATGGTTTTCAGCTGCCATGTGGCTATTTTGCCAGGATATGAGTTTTATCAATGGTGTCCCATTGGTGTCCCGCTTTACCAATGTTAAAATCTGGGTCACCTTAGCACAAACCGTCAAGGAAGGAAGGGGTGGGGCCCAGAACAAAACCGTGAAGTCGGGATCCAACAGAACCCACCTTATCATCCCTGGGCCCTGCCATCTAAAGCTGTCCTCGAGCACGGTCCACGGTGTATACAATGCCGCAGCATTATGTTCTGCCTCGATGTACCATTATCAGAGGCCACACAGTGAAGTGTGGTTAGTAACACAAACGCTGATGTCAGCGTCACCTTGCCTAGGTTTTTTCGTGGCTGCTGGGGAAATGAGCAGGTGGAAGAGGGTCAGTCTGGAGGTACTAACCACTGGCCTTTCGGTGGGGGAAAGCCCAAGAAGGAAGAAAACAAACTAGATACCGATCGTCGTTGTTGTCACTTACTATTCCATTTTTGGTGGCACCGAACAGAACCAGACACACATCCACTCACACGTTCTACATGAGCAGCTCAGTGCATTGACGACTGTAGCATCCCGGCCTGCGGGACACACGAGCAGGGCCCTGCAGGGAAAGGCGGACCTGGGTGGGAGAAAGACACGGAGACGTGGAGCAAGACAAAACGCTGATCAAACTCCATTTATTTGGGCAAAGCTGGGGCATATAAAGGGGAACTGGGAGGTGCATATTTTAATAAGGTGTGCTACACAACATCCAATCCAACATGTACATTATAATGAAGCATAAGAATGTTAACCAATCAGCTGCAGGTAAAAAGGCACGCTAGTTCTCAAAAACATCCTGCATGCAGATTAAGGTTCATCAGGCATAATGCAAAGTCCATCGTAGTCCAATGAGCGCTCGGCATTATTAACCAATGGGTGAAAAGGTCAACTCTTACAACCGCCAGTGCTACAGAGCACGTAACTAGGAACGTGGAGGTAGGGTTGGGCAGGAATTTAGGCAGGGCCAGTCCCCCACAGGTTTAGCAAATGAAAGACGACACTTAACAACCAGGAAGCAGCCAAGTTTGGCTCTGTGGCTGAGGCTAAGGCCTTAATGGCCACCGGCTCCCAACAGACGACATGTTTCACACGGTGCCACCATCCTAGCTCTACCCATTCGGCTTCATCACCACTAATTTAGGTACCTCTTGGTCCCTGAAGGAGCCCTCCTGGGAGTGTTAACCCAAAGGTCAGCAGTTTGAACCCACCAGCTGCTCCACAGGAGAAAGATGAGGCTTTCTATTCCCATAGAGTTATAATCTCAGAAACCCAACAGCACAGTTTTACCCTTTCCTATAGGGTCCCTGTGAGTTGGAATTCACTCAATGGCAAGGAGTTTGTGGGGGGGGGGGGGGTTTGAGCTGTCCCTTAAAGTTCTCATCTGTGATTTACATGAACTGCTGTCAGCTAACACTCCTGTAGTCTTTATAAACACTGTGCTTGAGGCAAAGATCCTTTCTTGATTGGGCTAAACTATCGTTCAGTTAGGAGCCCTGGTGGGTGCACTGGATGGCTAACCACAAGGTCAGGAGTTCGAAACCACCAGCTGCTCCTCAGGAGAGAGATGAGGCTTCTACTTCCGTGAAGAGTTACAGTCTCAGAAACCCAGGGGGGCACTTCTCTTCTGCCCTCCAGGGTCACTCTGAGTTGGAACTGACTCGATGGCAGAGAGTTCGGATTTTGGTTTGGTCCTTTAGTTTAATAATTGTTTCAGGAGATAGTTTGAGGAGTAGATACTGATCTTGAATCAGTTCCCACCTCTCATTTCCTTAGCTATTACATGGGAATGATGATAATAATGAGAGTAAGTAAAAAGATATGTATTGCTACAAAATCACAGACACTTTTATTAAACAAATATCAAAATGTGAAGTTATTGTTTCCATCCTTCATCTAGGTCAATATACTTCCGAAGGCAGGCTTTCCATATCCCTAGGCCTGCTGTGAGGAACTCAGGCAGGGTAGTGGGTTATGCATTAGGCTGCTAACCGCAAGGTCAGCAGTTTGAAACCAGCAACCACTCCTTGGGGAAAAGACAAGGCTTTCTACTCCTGAAGGTGAAACCCCAGGGGCAGCCCTGCCCCGTCCTATCTGGTAGGCGGCTGTGAGTCAGAATTGACTTGATGGCAGTGAGTCTAACCCTTTCGGGAAGAATTCTGTGCTGTCAATTAACGCAGCAGAACAGCAGCAGTGTTAGCTTCCTGGAGAGACTGCGATTCTGATGTGTGAGGAAGATAAAGAATCCTGCAGCACGGGTGGGATAAGATTTACCCGGGTAATGAAAGGAAAGCTTTCAAAGAAGGAGCAGGAGCACTGTCGTGATAGAAAAAGTAAGAGTACTCAGCCCGGCTTTCTGGGCTTTTTCTCCCCAATGCAATTTGCAGGTGTCTGTTTTCTAAAACGTCTCCATAACAAGCGCAGGTGAACATCCTGTGTTGATCAAGAAAATCCACCGCTCCAGTCGCCAGGACCTTCCGAGCTCAACTCTCTGCCTTGATCAGCCCAGCAGGTCCACTCAGAAGCCACTGACTGACGTGACTGGACTTTTTCTATTTTTCTTTTCAAGGTAATCGAACGATACTGACAAGTACATTACTGAGAGAACTTGTCTGCACTCACCCACTGATTGTAGAGACATGCATTTAAAGCAATTTTTGTTTGGAAAAAATCCAAGAGCAATACCTACTTACTATTATAATGAAAGTATATTAAAAATGCCTAAAACAGCTACTCGCTTCTGTTTACTCCTGAGGCCCAGCCATATCTCAGGGACACTCTTTCTTTCTTATAATAAATTCCCTTCTCTTGCAGTTCAAACTTATTGCTTTTGTATGCATTCAATTTTAACTGCTAAGTTGTATAAATAAGGCTCAAGGTACCCATTCTTCCCTCGATGTCATTTCTTTTCAAGCTTTCCTCATTATAAACGTTTTTCTTTTAAATGGATAGATTTATTGAGGGAGGTGAGGTTTGTAGGGAACAGGAAATGAAAGGAAATGAGACGGAAGGAGTGCAGGATAGCCACAGGAAGAAAGCTGAGAGCTGGCCCTTTGTCTAAAACCAGAGGATTAGCTCATTCAAAAGGTAGAGAGGCCACAAGCACCGGTCCACTATAGGAAAGAAGAGAGGAAACGCCAATGGGCCAGGCGCCAGTGTCGGCGGGCTGATGCGACTTAACTGGGTAGGAAGATGGACAGAGTAAGCTTTGTAAACAGAAGACATGTCTGTTACCGCCTTCAGTCACGCTGCTGCCAGACCCTAGATCCCTGCTTTTTAATTATAGGGAAGATGGCCCAGGATCTCTTTTCTTCTGCAGTTACCTCCAGCTGGACATGGACAACGAAAACCTAAAACTGTCAGGGTCCGGCAGGCGCTTGATGAGTTGGAATCAGCCATGTGGCTTTGACTGACGAAGACATGTATACGTCCCTGCAAAAAAAAAAAAAATTTCAAGAACACGGAAACAAGCACGGTCCGACACACAGAAATATACATATATATTTAACTGAAAGGCCCTAGGAGCGGCAGGCCCACGATGAGACACACAGTGGAGTAAAGGGGCCTCCAGAGATTACATCGGAACAGAAACTCATTGGATCGGCTAACACGATGGGATTTCTAGTAGCATCAGAGGCGGTGTGGCAAGGCAACGGAGTAATAGGAATGAGAAAAATTCGATTTCTTCAGAAGAAAACATCATGAAGGTACCCTGTAGCCAGAGGTCTCCGATCCACTCCCAGAAGGCCTCATAGGTGTTGTCCGAAGGATAGAACCAGGAGCAGTCTTCCAGAGCGCATTCCAGGAAGGTCTGAAACCGGTACTGCAGAAGGGTGGACATCTGTTTCCGCCAGAATAGGGCCTAGGTGTGGCTACGAACTGGCTGGATCTCCGCAGGTGAGCCTTGGTGTTCTGCGAGAGTGGCGATTGTCGGAGCTGAGGTAAATCCGCCGCAGAGTCCAGCCCATTATAAATTCTTGTATGCATCTACTTCTATATATATACTTGTTTCCCAGGGACATACCCAACAGTGGCAGCCCCATGCCTTTGGGTTCTTGCATTTCTAAAATGTGACTCTCTACCCTTTCCTCCACTTACATATTCTTTCACTTCTACCAAAGGAAACACAAAACAAACACCTCCCCGCCAACTCGGTGACCCTACCGGACAGGGTCGAACTACTCCTGTGAGTTTCCGAGACTGTACTTCTTTAAAGGAAGCCCTTTCCTTCTCTCACAGGGTGGCTGGTGGTTTCAATCTGCTGACCTTGAGGCCGCAGCCCAGGTGTGACCACCATGCCCACCACGGCTCCTAGTTCACTGGACTCCAGGCCTCTTTTAAATTCCTGGAGAGGGGCAGATGGTGACCCTTAGAAGGCAAACAGAATGTTTGCCTCACTAAACCTTTCGTTGGGTTTTATTTCTGCTCTTCCTGTTGTAAATAACCCCGTCGTTCTCAGATTTGAAATAAGAATTCCACGATTCTCCACCTTACAAGTTCTCGAATATAAATATCTGAGCTAGGCGTAGGTGTATGGCAAGCATTCGCAAGTTTTGCTTGCTACGTGGGGTGTGCTGTCAGTGAGTGATTGAAGAAGCTGGAGAGGGAGCCAGGGGGCAGGTTACAGCAGGCCACCTGTGTCCCCTTTCCTCGTGGGCAGCCAGGAGGGCCCACTGATTTCCTTTTACACCAGGTAACTCCTTCCAAACACAGGACGCCTCTGGGGTCGGAGCTGAAGGGAGACTCGCTCCTTCCCTTCAAGCTGATCCACATTGTGGCAGGTCCAGGGCGTCCCCAAACCGAGAGAAACCTAACTGCTCTTCGTTTCGGGTGTCCTTACATTCATTTCTAGGTTCTGCACACCACGCTCCACCCGCTTCGCTTTGGCGCCACCTGGTGCACGAAGGGGAAGCCGTGCGCCTGCGCTTTCCGCCTCTTCGGCCCTTGCTCTTTGTCTCTTCCCGCGGCACCTACAACTTTAAGATGCTCGGCGCAGACGGAAAACGGCGAGCGCCGGCACCTAGCAGCGCCTCCACAAAGCTCCTTCCGATTGGTCCATCCGGGTGAGGGGCGGGATGTAGCGAACATCCCGTCAGCCATTGGTCTTTCCCTAGGCCCCGCCCCTTGGAGGAGGGGCCGCCGAGGACGCCGGTGATTGGTCAAGGTCTCGGTGCGCTAGGCGCTGGGCGCGTGATTCTACTGTGTACTCGGGGCTGCAGCCGGGTGGGCGGCATGTCGGACACCGGAGGGGGCGCGCGTGGCGGGGAGCGGGGAGAAGATGCTGTCTCTGCCGGCCCCTTCAGCTTCAGCCCGAAGCCCACACTAGAGGACATGTAAGCCGCTTTTGACCATCTTTTCTCCTATCGGGGGGCGGGTGGGGAGGGTCCCTCCACGTGGTCGGGAAGGCGGCTAGCGGCCGCCCTCGGGTCAGCTTACTTCGGCGGGGACCTACTAGCCCCCTCGTTTGTAAACTGGGTGCAGCAGCGGGTCCCAGAGGCAGGAGATATGGGATGATGTCTGTCTGCGGAGTGGTACTAGGACGGTCCTTCTGCCCAGACCTGGCGGACCTTGTAGGACAGCTGGAGTCCTGGGGGCGTGGGGGAGCTTTCCTGATTGCAGAAAGTTATAAAGACTTCTCAGGGGGAAGTGCCCTTGAAGCCGCGCTGTGCAAGACAGGTCATTCACACTCACTGCCACTGAGTGGATTCCGAATCCGAGCGACCCTGTGGGACAGGGTGGAACTGCCCCAGTGGGTTTCCGAGCCTATAACATTGTACAGGGGTAGAAAGCCTGGTCTTTCTCCTGCGGAA